TTCCATCAACCTGCATATTTCTAATTTGTTTAAATGGTCTGTAACTTGGTCTTCCACTTCTGTGGGTAATCCTTCACTCCCACAGACTCTGCCACTATGCTCAGGGATCTGAAAGGAGTCCTTATCAGTAAAAAAGGATGAAAAGAAGCTACAGAGCTCCTCATCCTTTTCGGTGACCTTTTAAAAAGATCTCCTGCCCAACTGAGTTCTCTGTAATTATTATATTATTGCTGAGTCCAGGGTCTGTTAAAGCTTTTTGTATTGTCAGTTATGGAAACGTTTGCACCAAGACTATTTTACCATAGCTACATAAATTCACTGTCTGTCTATATAATTACATGGCTTTTAGAGTTTTAATAGAAATAAAAATCTAGCCATTTTGGGGGGGGGGGGGGGGGGGGGGGAACCACAGAAGTTAGCCATTAAAGAAGAAAAATAACCTTCAGATTTTATTCCTTTGACTAAATATGATGTGACACATAAGGGTTAGTAAAAATGTTTAATGTTGCATGACGTTTGAATGATAATTTCAGTTAATCCTCTGATGATGACATGCTAGGCAATTTGTTAACTTTGGGATATATTAACATAAAGACACATTTTAAAACGTCTTCTAAAAATAATGTTGTATTTTGATGTTTCAATTAGTACGGTAAAAAGCCAGCTTTTTTGTTATATCTGAAAAAAGCGAATTGTGAGGTATTCCCCTAATTTCTCAGTGCATTTGACTCCGAGCTCTTCAAAATTCACAGGATACTGTTGACAGAAAAACATCCTCCCTAGCGCCACATCCAGGCACGTGTCTTTATAATCCTACCTCAGTTTGAATTCCCATAGGAAAGCTGCACACTTTCTGAATACATGTAATGAAAACGGCAATAACACAAAAATAAAAACAACTGATCAGTGCCTCACATAATTAAATTCATTTCAGCAGGTAGTAGGAAAGAAATCGGTTCATGGGAGACTGCAGAAAAGTGAAAATTCTGAGATGATGTACAGCTGTGAATAATTTTACTTTCTTAAGATGCAGTGAAATGATGCAAGAAAAGAGGACCTTTGACAGAAAAGCTACAGGTTCCACTTCAAATGGAGGAAGAAAGCTCTGATAATCACTATACCTAAAGCAAATTTGAAAGACTATGCCAGTGACCTGTTTTAAGGAAAACCACAGTTCTATTTTGTGCCCTACTCATCACCACCCAGCCTTTACAGCCAACAAGTCTGATGCCTTCATTTCTTCCTCTCCTGACTATCATCTTGCGGATTCCTTACTTCTCACTCACAAGGAATAGACAACCCTTATAAGCAGAGTACTTTTTAATGTAAAGAATTCCATAAAGCTGGTTTCGCTCTAAGTAGAATTAAAGGACAAATATATTACATGGAAAACATCTAGTAGAGGTTGTTATTTTTAAGAGATAACCAAAGAAATTTAAAATGGAAACTTCTTTGAACACAATATATCTGGCTCTGCTGAGCTAAAACTAACCATTGCTGACTCAACATGCTTGAAATTTTTATCATTTCCTAATGTGGTTAATTACCAGCATGGTGGCAGAATGAAGACGAGAATCTCCTGAAAGTATGAAACTAAAGCAACTGTTTAACATAAATTTAGGACTCTGGAAAAAAGACTGAAATAATCCCCTCAGATTTAGTATTTTGTTTTTACTTTGATTTTTGTAAGGTCACACTTGAGTTGCTACACTGACATTTAATTTTACATGGACACTCAGAGCAGACTTTTATCTGGGTTCATGGCACCAGACTGCACTCATCTAATCACCAAGCCATTTTGCTGTGCAGAAATAAGGTTTACAGTAATTTTTTATTACTTCTTATTGCATCAAATTCTCTTTGGTATAGCAAAAAATCCAGAAAACTTCTTTCTCTTAAGATCTGGATTACTTGCTTCAAAACATGATAGACAGTACAATTAACCATGTGATGTAAACTACCAGAAAATCTGACAGTAGAAAGCAGAACACTAAAAGACAAGCCTCCTGTCCCACTGTTCCAGCTATTTTTCCATTCCAGTGCTCTGCTACAAATATAAATTGTTGATAAATAGCATGCTCGATATTATTCAGCATACAAAATATAAATCATGGCGATAAATTAAAGCTAAGTGCAAAAAAAAAAAAAAAGCAACAGTTAAGCTGTTTGTTACCTAATTTGAAGCTAGAAATCTTGCTTTTGTTTTATCAATATAGCTCATTCTTTCCTTGAAAAGTATGCAGTTGCTCACTACAGCACCTGATTTTGTCAGTCTTGTTATCTTTTTCCATCTCAACTTTTCTGACATGTATACATAAGAACTAACTTAAAAGAACTGTAGCATATGACTTTGTGGTATTTTTTTATTTTTTCCACTGCTGCAGGTAATGACACCAGAATAACGGTATTGGACTTGTTACTCTTGAACTCAGCATGGGATAGTTCTTAATGTAAAGCTGTCGTCAACAGAGATGCTTAGCAAAAACTCCTTATGGAAAACTGCTTTAATCCTCATGCCTTCCAAGTCTATTTTATTTACTGTGAATCAATATGACATCCACTCCAGGCCCTTAGACTTATGAGCAGTAAGTATATGTCATAACAGCAATAGTGATGTGGATTACGCTATTACGTTCTGGTTCACTGAGTTTATCAACAGGACAGAGATGATGAAAGCTTAATAGACAGATCAGAAAATTCAGAGGTTTTGCACTGATTACAGTAAGCAAAGCTGTTCTTGATGACAACGGATATAATTCAGAGTATTTCTTCCTGTTTCTAGAAGACAGACAGACTTAAGGCGTTTTTTCACACATTCAGTTCTTTTGCAGGAAGACACATTTGCTTTGATGTCTGAGAAAAATATCTGGTTTACACCACTAAGAGAAAAACAAAGTTATGGCTCCCATAGAAGCTTCCAATGTAGAATGTACATTCACAGAACAGCTATTTCTTCATATGCTGCAATTAACAGTAATTAGGCAAACACTGAAATGCATAGGAAAGAAAATGAGCGGTACTGCAACCCCTGTAATTTTCCTGTTTGTCCTTAGGAGAATCTTTTCACTGTGTTTCTGGCCAGCAGAGATTTTGTAGTTCCAAGAGCAGTCATTTAATCTATTCTCTTACACTCTTGATTTATTTTAACAAATATACTAAAGCCTCAGCAACTAGCCGTCATAGCAATCAATTTTAAAAAATAGGGGGAAAATTAAAAATTAAAAAAAATCTCCATAAACCCACTAAGAAACTATGAGGACAGAATGGACAATCTCTTTAACATCTTATCAGAAAACTCTTCAAATATCCTAACATTTGGCCACCTCAAACCGCAGTCATATCTTCTCTAGCTAAATTTTACAATATGCTTTAAATGATAGAAATAAAAGTTATGGTTACATTGTTTGGGGAAATAGAAATGCCAGGTCTCAGAAAAAACACACCCAAACCATACCCTAAAAATGGTTTCCCATCTTGTTCATCACAAACTCCAGCACAGTTGCAGGTATTGATAAAAACCTATAGACATATAGATTGAAGCAGAAATATCTTCGACAGATGGATTCTGTAACATTTAGGACTTTATCAGCCAGACAAAGCACATCAGATTCCATTCATGGTGGAAACCAGCAAATACAGACTACCCAACAGAAGTCCTGCTTATGCAAGAAAAGACACTGTGTGTATGTCAGAGGAGAATGCTCACAGGGCAGAAAAGCTTCCTGGCAGTTCTGTTCTTTGGGATCTGAAAATAAGAGGGTCATTCAAGGATAGCCCTCCTCTCCCGAGCAAGTACAAGTATGCCAGTACGACACACTGAATATGGAAGGTATTGATGGACAACAACATGATTAACTTCCAATCTTTTTCCAGTTTGTGGGAGGAAGGAAAATACGCAACCAAGGCCACAAGTGCAATGTCTGTGCCAAACCAAGGTCAGAACGCCGACACAATTTTAAGGCATCAGCAGCATCACTGCATCGTGGGATTCCTCTCACCACCACATTTTTCACAGTGTTAATCAGGAATAGAAGAGCCGGATGTTGGTCAATAACTCAGAACTTTAGTCATTAAGTAGCGGCTTTCTGGTCAAAGACACTGCCTGAAACAATTATAGTCATTCCTTCGTCAGGAGTCATGGACGCTTTCTACCAAACAGACTTTATCAGCAAAGACTAGAATCCAAAATGGTTTCAGAGCCTTTTTGAAGGCAACTGGGAGTCATTAGATCATGTACTCTGACTTGTTGCATTACACAGGCCATAGACATTTACTCCTAGCTACTCTATTGAAATCCCAAAATCTAGGCTTAGCAACTGGTTTTTGAAATATGAAAATAAAAAAAAATTGAGTAATGGCTGAAAAACTTCAAACCATGTTGTCACTTGGTAGGACTTTTTCAGTAGTTTATCGCTTTGTGCCTTCAACAAATTTATCCCCTTGCTAATCTTTAATCCTTAGCCCTTGGTTCTTTCTGACAGGACAACACACTCAAACTGTACCAAAACTCATTCTACAATGTCACTAGAGGGTTTCAGACAGAGATGCAATGACAGCAATCCAACAGTTTACAAAGTATGGATGACTAGTATTTCAAAGCTACTAGTTTTGCACTCAACAGCATGTATCAGAGAATATGGCTAATATTCAATCTATTTTCTTCTTGAAGTAACAGATAAAACCAGTAATATTTAAACTGTCTTGCTTCAGCTTCCTGATCCTGTAGTTTTTTCCTTGAAAAGCTCCATTGATAAGTCTTCCCTCTACTTCCCAGGGCACTAAAACATTGTTTTATAGAGGTTTAGATATAAATTCTTTCCTTCAAGTACAAGTTCCTTCTAAACGTCCACCCTATCTAACCCATCCTCCTACACAGACCAAATCTCTGATCTCATATTTTGTAGATCATGTAATCTGATGTGCAATCTTGTGAGAGATCTCAAATTTTAGCTGAATAGACAACAGTCTTATAAACACCCTTATTAAAAGTGAATACTGACCTTGAGGTGAGGCTGAAGGAAGCAGCAAATCCAGGAAGGAGATGTGAAAGAAAAAGAGTTAGAGTTTGTGAAAACAGTGTCCAGAGATAAGGCAGTTCAAGAATACAGGACAAAACAAGCAGATCTAAATCAGGTAATGACACACAGACACACAATCCTTCACAAACACAGAGCTGCATGTTTTATAGATATCTAATAAAAAAAAAAAAAAAAGAAAAGGACCTTTACATTAGATTACACCGTTTCATTTAGAGGCAACTTTCTGTAGAGAAAATAATCTCCAATACATAACAGTTCTTGGAAAAGGGAAATAAGTCAACTGTAGAAAACTCTGGATTTATATCACATTACTAGCAAGTAGCCTTCTTCCACAATTCTAACAAACATTTTGAAAATGTGGAGTTTGACTGAGTTGAACCCTAATGTGTTCCTTTATGCCATCTTCTAGGGGCTTACTTTCTCTCCATGAGCAAGACACATTTTTTTTCCACTTTTCCTGCAGATGACCTGAATTTCAAAAGGGAATAGAAGGCAGAAAAACCCCAACCACAGAGTAGCGTCTTCAAGTCCTGAAGACTTGTCAAAGCTAAAAGTTCATCTTTCTTAATTTTGACATTGAAGTCACCCTTCCAAAAACAAATGAAAAGCATCTGCCTCTTCTTCCTGCAGTGCTGCTGTCTTAATTCTTCCATGTAAGGTGCAATCTAAAAACAATAATGACCAAACAGGCATATCTTTGACAGTTCTCTCCAACATTGTTCAAAAGCAAAATTGACCAAGACAAAATGCTGGAGTTCCCTGTATAACATGGAGGTCCCACAGGTTCATTATTGCTTTATACTTTCTAAATATCTCCAATATCTTTTCATAGGCATCTGCTGTCAATTTCACTGATAACAGCGACATAAGTCAACAAGGAGCCATAAACACAGATCTTTTTAATCTGATTTTAAACTTTATTCTTTTTCAGTCAATAGAAAAGGGGAAAAGTAAGTGTCCTGCTGTCCAAAGTGGCAATTTGGCTTCTACAACATACATTGTACTTCTCTCATGGCAAAATTTCACTCTAAAAATGCAGAATATGGGCTGGAGAAAAAGATTTCTATAGGATAGGCTAACTGCTATATGCTTTATTACTCTTAGTATATGGAACCATGTAAATGACATTTGAAGTCCTTATTTCTGGTACAAGTTTTACAAACAACAATGTAGGATATCAAATTTGTACAAGCAGTAGTTTCAGAGCAAGGTACAGCTGAGAAGCGTATTGTTGGTCTGTAACACACAAACTACTGTAAAGATACTTCTCTTTGGCTTTTAAACTAACATTCTTCAAGTTCTTCAAGGACAGCTGTAGTAAAGGCTGTGTTATTTGGGGATTTTGGAAAGATGAGACTTGCAAAATGCCAAATACTACATCTCTGTGTTTGATCCTGAAGTTATAACGTTCCAAAAGCCTCAGTTAATTCGTATAGAAAAATGTGTAACTAACAATTCTAACTGAAATCCAAGAGTATGCTCTCTAAGCTAAGCTGCAGAGCCATGACTGGTCAAACAAATTTAAAAAAAGGGAACACAAAAGTGAAAATAAATACTTGGTTAGATATGGGAATAAATAGGGTAGGGGGGAAAAAGCTTGTCTTTTTTATGACTGTTATTAGATTATGAAAGTTTAAGACTTCTCCTTTTGCGTTTCAAGGACCCTTTGTAGTACCTGGTTCTATTGTAATGATGTTGTTATATTGTTTCTTCTATATAACAGTGAAAAAAAGTACAGGTTACAATTCAGAATAGCCCTGTAGAATTTGAATGAACTGTACTGTTCTTTCAAATGCTATTTATTAAAGGTCACATCTTTTGCTGGCACAAGATGAAGGCAAAACAATACCTGAAACGCTATGCTGAGGTCACCTGCAATTTTCTGTATGTTACAGAAGTATTATTTAGCCAGCTGCACAGGATTTGAATGGAGAATAATTACTGCTACATCTTCATTTTGTTGTGGAATAAATTCTTTCTTCCAAAGAAAAATACATTTTGTGTAATCACTAGCCCTTTTTTAATTTTTTTTTTTTCCAGGGGTTCAAAATATTTTTTCAAAAATGTGGATTTTTAGAATAATTGTAATGTTTATCCAAACAAAAATGAGGAATATGTCTGAAAGCACATAAAAATTAGGAAAAATCTGGAACTGTGCTGTCACTTGAACTAATACCAAGGCAGACACGGGAAATTGCCAGCTATGAGGAAGTCAGTGGAGATCTGCTACAGGCTGGAGGCGAAGCCTCAGTGCCCAGGGCTAAATCAGTGAAATTGAGCAGAGGAGCGCAGCAAGCATCTGCCCCAAGAAGCAGCCCCAAGCAAGCAGGATCAGATACATACCAAGACATGCTCATCACAGAGCAAAATAATAATTTTTAGTTTGCACTATTTCCCTTCCAGCAAGAACGCACACTTGCAGCATTCCTTACAAGATCCAGCAGCAGCGCTTCTGCCCAGCCCCATTAAGTATGTGCTCCGATGCCACAGTCACACAGGGAGACAATGCAATTGTAACACCAAATGGGAGTCTCGGAGAAATCCATTTTCTTTTACATCACATTAATTCTAAAGATATAGGTGACTTAAATCTGATTGCTGGGTGCAGATCAAAAACGTTGGTGAGATGTGAACACTTTAGTATTTTAATTAAGAAATATATAAATTTAAAAAGCTATAATTTTTCCCACATGCTTGTATATTATAGGGAGTGGAATGAGTCTGCTCCATTAGTCTCAGACGTACTTAGGGAGAAGTTTATGTAATAATTTCTAGTCAACCTTTGAATTCCACTTGTTTAACAGTCAGTGATTGTGTGCATTTACTACTTTGTTGTTCCTTCAAAGTAGTCTGACAGGGAATAATACACACTTGATCTTCCTCGTGTCAAAGCAGAAAGGCTTATGTTTACCACTTTTGACACCTTTTCTTGGTAAAAAGAATAATGGCTGGTCTTTTCCTTCCGTTTTAGTTGATATTTAGAGGGATGGAGAAGAGATGGAGACAGAGAGAGGGAAGGTTTGTGTGTGCATCCATGCACACATACACCCACCAATCTAAGAGGGCAAACATGACCAGATGGTCCTGAAGCTCTACTGTTGCTATTTCACTGGCTTACTGGCAATTACTGGATTTTCCTTTTGTTCTTACTGTACTACAAGACAATGTAAGGATCCAACACTTTTACTATTACTGTTCAGTTGTCCAAAAGGATTTTTAAATTTTTTATTTTTGTTTTTTTTACTCCTTACTAGTTTGTGAGTATGGATAGCCTCATATTGCTTAAAGATGTTGACTGAAACAAAGCTACAAGACAGCTTTTGAAGAGATGTAGTCAAGACAGGTAATAACGAAACCCTGATACGCAAACTAGACTCATTATTTACAGGATTTTCTTTCTCCTCTGATCTTATAATTAATTATATCACAGCTCTAGCTGATCTAGCAGTTGGATTGGGAGATATTTGCTAATAAAACCATTGCTACAATGCAGGCAGAGTATAAATCATCAGATGACAACTCCTATATTAATTACAAGTAACACTTAGGTGTGAGAGGGAATGCTTGATAACCAATTTGATTTAATGACAAAACCAAACAGAACTTTAACACTATGGGAAATTTGGCAGGAAAAGCAGCCTTCAAAAAAAGCTCGCAATCAGTGATTCTCATTACTCATAAGTATTACTCTAGTGTAAGGTTCTTTTTGGAGGATCTAAGATCACATCCTTGGTCTTGGAATAGCGGATAAACCAAGCTTTCAGCCCATTGCTGAATTTAACAAAGGAGACTGTCTGCACTCAGTTTCATAGAGAAGAACCACACTTTAATAGCGTTGGTCCTGCCTGCTTGAGCATGGAAATAATACTAGGGCAAGTACCCAGGCTTAGGTGGTTCAATGATGGGACAACACAGCAAGCTCATTCAGGCAAAGCCTGCACCAGCCCTGACCTCTCGCCTTTTCAAGGGCTGGACTAATTGGGGTTCTTTGACCTTGTTTTTTAGAACAGCTGTTTCTGCAATATCACAAAGTTTCAGCTTCTCCCAAAACACAGAAAAAGGGAGAGAATGGGAAATAAAGGACAGCTAAATAAAGAACAAATGGAAAAAGGATATCCCATTATATGAAAAAGGTGAGGACGGATTGAGGAGTCACCCTAAAATCACTATGATGGCTTTTTTATCTGGTGCTCTCTACAGATGGATTTGCAATTAATGGCAGCGTGTGTGTGTCTCCTTTTCTTAGATGTAGGTTTCAAAAGCGATTAGTAAGCTGGAGTGTTGATCTTAAGGCACTTGAACAAAGGTTGACTTTCAGAGGGCAGACACTTGCCTTCTGAAAATCGACGTACTTTCCAATGTCTGAAGTTAAACACCCATAAGTAAAGGTCCCTCATCTTATATTCTTATCTGTTTAGACCAGTTATGTTGATATGAAATGTATTATTTTTTTCCTCTGTGAAACTCAAGGTGAGACTTCAGGTCTAATGATCATTTTGTATGAAGATAAAAGCAAGCCTGAGAAGAAAGAAATTACTTCTTCATTTTCTAGCTTGGAAATGATGAAAATCTTAATATTCAATAGACTTGTGTGCTCAGGGGTGGAGCTGGACTAATTCCTGGCCAGACCACTTCTTTCCATTACAAGACCTTGTTCTCAGATGCTTGCCAAATATTAACAAAGTGTGCTGAAGTTTTCCATGACAGGTGTCAGCCTCACCCGGGATTTTTTGGGGGACAATTTAAGCTACATCCTTCACACATCAAGGGCAGCATTCTTGTGGAAAAAAATTGTTCATATGGTTAAAGACTGTATCATTTTACTGTCATACACAGGCTTACATAAGAGGTGAATTAAAATTACATGGTCATCTGCATTTTGGAAAGTCCTAAGTTTTGAGTTATTAACCTTAGAATCTTAGTATTTATTTAAGCTAGGAATTTTTGAGGGAAGTGGATGAGAAACAACAACA